GAAAGGCTACATAAGGGTCTGCCTGTAATAGGAGGCCAAAGATAGCCCGTGAAAAAAATTTACCTGGAATTTTGCAGCTATTTTTGAACTCGAAAGTGCGAATTTATGATTTTTTATTCAAAAAAAATTAAACAGACCCGGGAAAAAGTCAACTTATATAGAGTCAAAAACCTATATTAGTCGGTCTAAAAAAACTTATGAGTTAGGCCTAGAGATTTTTTTAAATCTTTAGGCCTCCTCTGGGCATGGCATGCTGATCTCTGGAACATATGCCACCTAAAATATTTTTTCAATATGGGCGGTATATCAATACCGGTTACAGCACATGTAGTAATAGTTTAAAAATTAAGAATTTGTATTAATAATTGTAATATATAATAATAAATAGTCAGAGAATCGATAATTTAAAACCAATTAAACATTAGGATGCTCAAAGAGAATATGATATTCATAAAATTAATATTTATGAATCAATTTAAAACTCTGAACTAAGCTTGTTATAAAACTAATTACAAATTGAATAATAAATTGTTTATAATCGCTTTTGACAGGCCTCTGAACTAATTAAAAATCCAATATCCTTTGAACTTGAATTAAATTAAACCCGAAGTTTAATTGGGCCCAGCAAAAAAACATAGCATGCGCCTCCATGGGCATAAGTATATATATGATTTCACTAAAATTCCAGTTTGATATGGGTTAGTGTTTTAGTTATATAAATTTATAAAAATTAGTTTATATTGCTAACCTTTTATTTTAATCATGCTTTAAAAAATAAGAAATTTTGACCAATCATATTAAATTACGAATAACAGATTGAAATAATTTTTTCACGGTAATTCATTTAGCTGTGATTTAGCGGGAAAATTTTCACATAATGACATAATATATAATCATATAAAATTGTTTTTTCAATATTACTACACCCAGGAATGTGAACCCAAAGAATCATCCAAGAATATTAAAATTGTTTGGTTGGGCAGCCACACAACTATTTATGGACATCCCCTCGAACCCAGGTATGAAATCGGGGCGTGTTCAGACCCATCTAAGAAAATAGGTTTCGATTAAGTTCCTGTTATCAAAATTTTAAATTGAGTTTAAAATTCCTGAACCCATTTGGTCTAACCCTGACTATGCCTAAATTATTTTGTCTTTAATATTTCATGTTTTTTTTAATATGGGAACCCTTGATTAATTTAATAAAATTACAATAATATTTAATTAGAGAAATCATTAATTTACATGATAATTTTGATTTGGGAAGCTGACCGCAATAATTAAATTTAAAATTTCTATTTCTTGATCAAGGAATGAGCTCTTTATATGCCATCCTATTTTGATATCGGAATTTAGCGTAATTAATAAGATTCAATTTGAATCAACTTAATTCACTCTTGACCTTCTCTAATACAAGGCTGTAACCTTTTTGAGTGAAGTGGGGATCTATAAATTATTCTATTCCGCCAACATAAGGTTTTATTTTTAAATACCATATAAAAGTTTGCTATTGCTAATTCTAATTATCTTAGTACTTTATCTATTCCCATTAAATAATTTTCCGATTCCTTTATCATCGCTATAATCCTATTTTATGTCTATCGCAACACCCCGACTCTTTCTCATTCCATTCAACATTTTTTATTTACAAATATTCTCATGTGAAATTTTTTTTATCTCTCTCTCCAAACTCGATTTATATCTTTATCGATTGTGCAAGATATTTGATAATTTTTTCGAAATTTGCAATTAAAATTAAGCATCAATAATATTTTTTAGATATAATTAAAATATAATGCAATGCAATGTATATATTGTAGGGTATGTGAGGGACTGGGCAGTGAGGCATAATTTTTGTCGAAATATATCACTGTGAAAATATCGATTATCGTGAAAAATTATTTACGGGTATATTAATGATATTATATTCTATTATCATATGAAGAAGAAATTTATTAAAAAATAGTAAAAATTATCCTCTAGTCTAAACATTGACCCAGCCGAAAGGTAATAAATTAACGTGCTATGATCTCTCAGATTTTATTTTATCTCTATAGTTATTTTAATAGGTCCTTAATCCGCCTAGGCTATCATTATTCTACGATTTTAGGTAAGAAAAATTAATGGGAATAGTGGATCCTCTTAAAGATTATCTAACCTCCTTTCTCTTTAGATTATAGGTAAAATTTATATAATTCTTAAATTATTTGTTTATTTTAATTATGGAACCCCTTGGAAGGGTGGATGGGGCATTTCCCAAATTCTTAAATTATTTGTTTATTTATTTTTACATAATTTAATCTGTTTCTATTATTTATTAAACGGGATAAATTTTAATAGGTTATATTTAAATAAGAAGATAATTTCATGAATGGCTGCTATTATCTATGAGCACAAGAAGACTGGCTTAATGCGTAAATGCCTACAGCCAATAAGAATTTAGAGAAATGACTCTTTGATATAAAATTGTCATCTTCTAATTTTTATGATGAAGTTATCGTTAGGGGGTGGACTACGCTTTCAGTCTAGGTGGATAATTTTTCCGCTTTATTTTATTAGGGGGTTCGCTACTATTCCCCACATTTTAACGTTTGTCAGGCCTTTGACTGTGTCCTCTCGAAAGCTTCACACGTTTATTAGAGTTTCTTGTATTTTTTTTGACCAAAACATATCCAAGCAAACTGATGGATCAAACTAGTAAGACACGATAAATCACAAATTATTTAAAAATTGTAGATGCACATATAAAATCATACATTACATATTATTAGACCTGTGCGCCACAGTCGCAATCGGTGGCAACGGTTTTTAATTTTTTATTAGCATACCGAATTAGACGCCGCCTAATAAATTTGTGGCGGCGTCAAAGACGCGACATTTTTAAAAAAATTTTAATTGATTTAATTTATAGTGATATATATTCCTTTTTATAATATATTTAGACATCTAGTTAACATTGTTAATATACTGTTGTTCTTTAATCATTTCTTTCCCACCCTTATATAAATTTATGTATTATTATATTATTTAAAATAAGCTAAGAAATTGCCTTTTCAACCAGATCAGAATCACACATTATATTAAAAATATTCTAACGATTTTTAAAACAAATTTATATGTAAATTTTTAGATATAGAGTAAGAGTAAGAGATAAAAAAAAATAGAAATCAAATTTAGTAATATTGAAATTGGTGAATAAATATTATTTTTCGAGATTGGTTGAGTATTAATCCAGCGATGGAAAAGATTCTTTCGCTGGGTATACTAGTTGCAGGTGTACAAGCTACTTTCCTAGATAAATTCGCAAGTTCTTGAGGTTCCAATAGCCTTTTTTTCCACAAAAGGTTAGTGCATCCTTTTTTGATATATTATATTAGCAGAATAAAATATGACGCTCTAGATTGCTAGTGTTATAATAATTTTGACTTAGAAGAAAATGTTTACGAACTATTTTAGCTATATATGAATTGGATATTTGCTCATTATCTTGAATTTGTATCTCACTATCTACAATATCATGTTCTAAGTTTTAAAAATAAAATCATCAATTTTAATGATCTCATAGAATTTGAATATTCAGAAACAATTTTCAGGTTTTGAAATCCAACAGGTCGCTAATATCTAATTTGCAAATTATTTTAAATAAAATTTTAGTAATAAAAATATTAAATAGAAAGTTATTATATAAAATAAATTATTTGCAGTTCGGTAGTTGGAAATCTATGGTCAAGCCTTTTCTATTAAACAAATGATATCCGAGCTATCAGATTAATTGATTTATATATTTGTTTCTATGCAAAATAATAAATCTAAATTAATTGTTAATTTCTTTTTAAAGGGAATTAATTTTGCAGACTCTGTGAATAGATTATGCGAACAGTTCTTCAACTATATCCCTTTCGTTATTGAAAAGTTCTAAAGATTATTTCTCTATTATTTAGCAGATAAATATATTGGACTCATGTTGATACCACGTCTACTCGCTTACTATGTTCCAAGTATTGTAGCCAATAAATAAAACATAAAATTGTAAATTATACTGTAAATTCAATAACTATAATTGTTAAATTACCTCATAATTTACTCTATTCATTATGGAATATTTGTTATAGTGAACCAAACCTGAGCGAGCCACTTTCGCGATGTTTTACAGTATTTATTATTATTAATAATAATATGATATAACATCAAGCAATAATCCCAATTAATTACAAATATAATAATTTTAGATAAATTATTTGCACTTAGGGTGCCTAACATTTAACCAGGGATCTCTAACACTGTGGGGGATGGGCTAAGATGCAATTATGCCATTGACTCTGGGGGGGGGCATTCTCATATCAGCATTCATTTAATGATTGAATTTTTTTATATTTTAGTCATCAAGTGTAGGAGAAGGGAGAATAACTCCACTTTATTATTTTAGAGGGATCTAGAGAGCTTTGTTTATTTTTTATTTTTGGATATCAAACAAACTGTTCAAATTTTTATATTCATAAAGTTTAAAATATAATTACTGCAGCATGTAGCATGCATGCTTATGCAATGTATTCAATTTATATAATTTCAAAATGATTGAATACGGTTGATATTGATAGTAATATACTATCATCTTCCATTTTCAAGATAAAACTTAGAATATAAATATTTATACTCTGTATAAAGCATTTTTTTTTAAAAAAAATTTTATAGAAAATATGGCAATTAAAAACCCTTCATTTATAATAAAAAAAAATGTTGCTCTATCTACAAATATATTATTTCAAAAATTAACATATTTTTTATTATTTAATTATTTAATAATAATTAAGTGTAGGATATGAGAATGAGATTAGTTTGATAATTTATTTTGCTAATTTACTATATAATTTGTATATACTTCATTTTTTAAAAATATATCTTGCATATCACTTTATGGTTAGTAAATCAATACAGCAATATAATAAAAAAGATGCAAGAAATATAATGAGATAATAAAATATAACATTTTAAAATCTTACACTGAGAAATGGTATACGAAACAGAACCATCCTGTAGGTCTTTCCAAAAAGTTGTAAATATTGGATTGAGCTTTGGATAAAATATTAGAGATATAACCGGTAGGCTTTTTATTCCGTTTCCGGTCCCAAAAGTGACTGTTTTTATTTAATGATGAAAATTTTATGGATAATCTTTCATTTTGATTAGGGTATTTACCGTAATACCCCACGTTAAGTCCTATAGGTTTGTATATGATAGCTGTGGGTGCCTCTTCCTTGACGCTAGGTTTTGGGTTAGCATTGAAATGTCTTTTGCAGGAACCTGACGAGTGGGGATGACTGAAATTGAAGACTTTGCCAGCCGGTCTTTTCCACCAATTATTATAAGTGCCATATTCGTCGGTCTTATTATCATCTTCCATGGAACCTTCGTCCAACTTATCCGTTTCCTTCGACGTTTTGGACCTATTAGAGGCGCCACTTTTTGAGAATCGTCTAGCGATCAGTCCTATAGGATCTTTTTTTTCCTCACTCCAGGATTTATTATCGCTAAGCATGAATTTGTTCCCAAATTTTAATTCGGTCAAACTACTACCTGTCCTCGATCTAGAAACATTATTTTTGTGTTCTGCCACCTTTTCGATATCCTTGTTATTAATTGTCAATGTCATAATCGGAATATCCTTTGTGGGGGAAGACAGGGGGTTGGGGTTAGGATAGAAGACCTTTTTAAATAAACTCGATTGTCGGAATGCAGCACCGATGATATTCTCCCCTTCTTATGTGGCTATATAGCCGAATACTCTTTCTTTGGCATACAATTTTGTTTGAAAAAAAATATACGATGCGCTCGTTTAAAAATGTTTATGGATTCTTTTTTTACTAAATTTTTGTATTTATAAATCTAATATTTGATAAAATTAGTGAATCAAAAAAAAATTTTTAATGAAAAAGTTAAATTTTTATTTTTCACTTGATATGACAATTAGATATTTTATTTTTATTATAAATATAATATAATAGATATTTTTTCCAAAAAAAAAATTCTTATAATATAATTTTATGAAATTGGTTATATTATAAGTATACATCTTAAAATTAAATAGATATTTTGTTTTATATAAATTATTCATTTTTTATTTTTTTTAAAAAAATAAAAGGTTATTTATTAGTAATTACCATAAAAAAATATATTTTTTAAAAAGATAATATCCATTATAAATATTATTTAGTTTTTAATATAAAAGAAAGGAAAAACTAGATATCAGTGACGTAAGTAAGCCCAAATAAACAGAGAGCACTAGATGGTCCAAATTTTTTACGAAAAAAATTAATTGACAATGTTTTTTTTCCCAAATTTATATTTTTAATCGAAATATACCATAAATACATTTATTCTAGTTTTTTTTAGTTAAAAAGCTATGTTTCAATTATTTATTGAAATGCTATATTTCAATTAAATTTAGCATTTTAATTTTATGATTTAGAAAATTTTAAAACTGAAAAATTTAGAAATTAAAACTGACTCAAACAATAGTTTGTAATTAAAAGTAAAACCTTGCAAAACAATAGATATCTTTATAATTAAAATTGCGCAAAACACCAATTTATAATTATTTTTTTAAACTGTTTTAAACTAAATCTAGTTTTGCCGAAAATCAAGCAAAAGAATTAAATCTAATCTTAACCATAAATGTCATTTATATTCAGGGATTCGAACCGAACCCGAACCCGGAAAAATAAAACCCTGGTTTTTGGGAAAAATATCTGAACCCGCACCGAACCTGAACCTTGTTTATAAAATTTTCAAAACCCCGAACCGAACCCGGGAATTTTAGAATTCCATTCTAACTATTTTCCAAAGTAAATAATAATTGTATTAGAATCTAAACATGATAGAATGACATCAGCATTCTAATAAATATAAATTAAAATTTCTTATATATTATGATGGTGATGCTTTTATTTTATAATAAATATTTGCACGACGTCGAGAGACATCATTCAATTATTTTATGTTCAGAGTTATATATGAATACTTGTATTTAAGATACTAGATAATGTAATTTATATCTTTTAATATTTTTAATTGCTCATAACACTATCAAAATAATATTGTATCTTTTTCATTTCTTTAATAAAAGATACCAATACAGATACTTTTTAAATATTTTTTTTTAAATATTAGATCACTTTAACATTATTCTCACGTGGATTCTTGCATTAATTTTGTTGTTTTTCTTTTACTATTTATATATCTTTGAAGTTAGTGTTCATTATTATTTTATATTTTGATAGCAACTTTATGGTTATATACAAATTAGACAATTTAATTATTTGATTAAATCTCCATATTTTTTTAAGCATTACATTAAAATAATCATAATTGTTTTTTTATAGGGTGAAAGAAAAAAAAGAAAGAAAGTATTAAATTTATTTATATTTCACTTTGAATTGACTTTTGGAGGGTATAAAAATAGTAATATTTGGGTGATTATAATTTTTAGATTTTATTTGTTTATTCATTTTTAAATCTTTATATTTTTACAAATAATATGTATCTATTTTTATTTTTAAGGATCGTTCAACTCTGACTGTGTGATTATTTGATTGATGCAATTTAATCATTTGGCCACAGAAATATCATTTAATATCAAAGGGCAGACTTCTAGAAATTCGAATCGAAAAGTGAAATATTCGTATCCATAATATGAATAATAAATAATTCATTTTTTTTAAAAAAAAAGCTTTTTTCATATAGTTATTTAGTATAACTTAGTAAAGAACAATACATCGCCAATCCGCTCCTGTGGATCATATTCATATTTAGGATTGTGATATGTGATAATAAAAAATTTGCCATAAAACAGATTATGAAGTGTTTTTGGGAGTAAAATGGGTCGAAATAGTTGAATAATTCCTAGTTTTCGAGGAAGGATCTATGGATTATGCTTTCAAAACAAAAAGTCAGGTACAACCAAATAATTAATAGTGAAAATGCCAGAAAATGTGAATATTTGATTACGGTGGCAGTACTAATATGTACATATAATACTAAAATTTACCAATAATTGCAATTTTATTAAGTTTGCCATTAAAATATTATGAATAATTCATAAAAATAATTTCAATTTAATTTTCTTCGAAAATTTTTTTTATTATAATTAGTGGTTAATTTGTTATAATCACTCGTAGTAAAGCAAAATTTCATTTGAGTCGATTTTTTAAAACAGCTAACTTAATAATTTAGCCAGAAAAATATTGCCTAAGCTTCGAGATTTCACTAAAAGATGCCAAAACCTTTGTGCCTTATATGAGTAAAATTTTCAGGCTTGCATAATCATTTTCTGAATAAAATATCGAGTTAGTTGTTTTTAAAAATCGACTCAAATGGAGCGGTGTTTTCATCATCACTCGTATTCGTAAATTTCGAATCGAATATAACAAATTGAATCTATTTCGATAGTCCTATGCCAAGATTTACCAAAAAATAAATTCCTAAACTAGGTATTATATATTTATTTAGGGAGGAAGGATGATTAAAAAATGGGAAATAATTCATTTTCGAAATATAATATACATACAAATATTTTTGCTAAGAACTCGGGGCCGGGCTCATGGCATCGTTTTCTGCTTAGAGTTTTAATTCAAATCAAAGATAATTTATGTTAAATAGGTTTATATGATTGTGAACATTATAATTTTTGAATAAAAATTTATATTTAAATTTTTGATTTCGTCTTTAAAGATTTTTTATGCATAATTTTTACAAAAGATTTATATAAATAAAAGATTTTTTTAAAAAAAGATTTTGGCATTTTTAAATAAGAATTTGATTTAAAATCTTTCTTCTTTAAAAAAATCTCAATTTTTAAAAATTTTTTTAAACTCTGCAAGATAGTAAATTGATTTTAGAAAATACTTAAATATTGAAATACAGTTAAGTATTATGTATAAATTAATTTAAAAATGTTAATTCCAACTGGGAGTTTTGGAAATCAACCAGAGACATTTTGAAATTTTTCATTGTCACTTTATGATGAATAAAAGAACAAAATAATGTAGAAATGAAATTAACGGATACAAAAAAAAATAAGTGAAATGGAAAATGTAATTATTTTTTTTGTCAAATATATTTTGGATATAAATATAGATTTAGATACAAAGAAGCCGCGTTGCGCTCTGTTGGAAATACGACGAAAACACTAAGATAATTATTTGATTTTTTTTTTGGTTTTAAAATTAATTTTTGATATTTTAAAATGTAATTTAAAATTAAATAAAGGTGTTTTATTATTTAATCAATGCTTTAAAAAATCAATTCACACTGTGTTCAGATTGAATGAATGCTGGAAAAAAGAAAGAATAGGTACCAAAATGATGATAAAAAAATATGCCCTGAAGCACAACTTTAGCAGTTTGTTATTTTTATTTCTAAAGTTTATAAACTTTACCAGATAATTTGAAATTCCTTTCTCTGTACACTATAATATTTATTTAAAATTAAAATATTTCTGTCTAGTAGTTGCTCCTACATTAATATTTGAATTAATATTCAAGAATATTATATGAATCAAATTTGTTATTCGTTTACAAGTAATAATAAATCGAATAATGAATAATATTCAAACATGAATAAATTATTCAAATAATCCAGATAAACACAGTGAATATTCTTCAAATAGATAAATTTAAACGTTACTATCTAGTTATGCGGATATTTTTGTCCGATTTTCCAGATACATTCCAGAGTTGTCTTAACTCCTATAAAGATTACAAAATCTAAAATGGCCGTGTTTACCTTCTAATTTTAAACGGTATCTAATTATTTAAAGTCTTTCAACAGTCAATTTCAATCCTAATAACAAATTTATCTCATATGCAGGGCCGTAGCTATGAATTTCTTGCTGGGAGGGGGTGATAAGCAACTGCTTTAGGGTGCCAGTATTTTTTTTGAAATAGTACAAATAAAATGTGTTATCATTTGCTAGGCTTGCAAAATGGGTGATAAATTCATAGGATTTTATATATAATATAAACTAGAGGAGATCGGGGCAATATTGCAGGTGGGGTAAAAAGGCAAACGGCTATAACTTTTTCATCTTTAAGGTAAATTTCAAATTTGGTCAAAAGATGTACTTCATATATACTATCTATCTCTTTTTTGTTCAATAGCCGGAGCTCTGTATTCTTAGTTATCGATTACAATCAATCTTTAAGCCCTATTCACCAATTTGTGATTTTTTCTATGAGACTTGGAATTTTATGAATTTTTTATGTCATATTTATAAATTTCTAGGCTATCGATTAAACCTAATCTGAAGTTTCTAGTTATTTATAGAGCCATATTGGCTTAAAAGGCAGTGGTTATTGAAAAATGACCTTATATTATATCTATCGGGGAAAAATATTGTCCAATATATTATTTAAACGTCATAAAAAACAAATTTTAAACTTTGGTCATAATAATTGGCTAGAGGAATAGTTTTCTACTATTTTAATTGTCCTAATAATTTTAGCTATAATCTCATTCACCATGGTTTCGGATAAATTAACTTTTCAAAGCTCAATTTAGTCAAAATTCCTTAGATTCTGCATCAGGATCGGCTTATTGCCTTATACCAAATTTTCATTTATCGTTTGCAAACATATAAGGACGAAATAACTCTATTATTTTATAATAATTTAGTCAATAATTTTATTACTTTTTAAAATAATGACTATAATTCAAATATTTAATAACAGGATTTTTATATAAAAAAAAGTGAAAACAAAATTACTTTTATAAAAATCCAATATGGCCAAAGGCCTATAATAAGTGGACCTAAAAATCTCCAATAAAATTAATTGGGAAAAAATTTATTTAATAATGCCCCCCACCCTAGCAAAA